AAAAAATCTGAGTATAGGCCGTTAAAACCTGCGTTAGTAAGAAATAATAGTCATCTGGTTAAAATGCTACAAGATATATATATATTTTTGTTGTTGCTTGCAGATCGGAACAATTATTTTAAAGTGTCAGTTTTGCAATTACCTACATATGTATTGTCATTTAAAAGCTTCATATTACTAGTTTTATTAAAAACCTTTAGAGATGTGAAGCTAATCCTTTAAATATTTAGCATTATTTAACACGACGGCTCAGCGGTTAGCACTGTTGCCTCACAGCGAGAAGGTCCTGGGTTCAATCCCCGGTTGGACCTGGGGTCTTTGTGTGTGCAGTTTGCATGTTCTCTCCGTGCATGCGTGGATTTTCTCCAGGCGCTCCGGTTTCCTCCCACAGACCAACAACATGCATGTTACTCTGATTCAGGCCTCCCTTTAAAAGAGATCTGTGATCTCAATGGGGCTCGCCTGGTTAAATAAAGGTTAATAAATAAATAAAAATAAAATGTTTGCTTTTCTTTTGCTTATTGACCCTGTGTACACAATTTTGTTCCCCCTCATGTACCACGTGTGATGAGAATGACAATAAAACTTATCTACTAATACTAACCAACAACATATTTATCTGCATTTTATTCAGATAAATATTAAATAATAATAATTTAATGCTGCGATTTACATCTTTTCATCCATCTTCAGTGGTTCTGGTCCACGAGGGCCTCTAACCTGCATGTTTTAGAGGCTTCCTGCTTCAACACACCTGATGGACCCCTTTGATTTCCTTCAGGGTCGTGGGGAGCTGGTCATCAACCGGCAGGCGGGGTCGTGGACAGATCACCGCTTCATCACGGGGACAAACAACCAGCACCTCACACCTACATCCCATTTAAAGCAGACTTCTGGACCGTGTGCATGCCGCAGCATTATATACACAAGGCAGCCATATTGGATCTGGAGGCTGGGACGGTGACGAACCTCCAGCATTTCTATTCCAACTTTGAGGAGCTCCAGCACATCCATCTGACCTGGAACTTAAAAACGCCAACTTCCGAATCAAAAAAAGAAGTTTAGCAGTTTAGCTGCTGTGGCTAAAGGAGCCGAACTTTCTTTACATGGCAGAGCTTTGTTGTGGCCAACCTTGCCGACTCATTTTTCTCCTTCGCTACGTGTTTGTTTAGGTTTTGTACAAACCCGGACTGAAAACGTCTCTCATGTTCTTTAACCAGGACTGACTGAAAAATGTAGGTTGCTTTTCCGGGACTGATGTAAACTGTCCCTCGAATCTGATGTCGACAACATTCACACTGTTTTTATTTGTTCCTGGGTAAAGTGACTGGATGGAAAAGGCTGGACCGTTATGACCCCAGCGATAATGGATGTCTGTAAACTGTGCATGTTTGAGAGAACGTTTTCCAGCTCTCCTTCTGTTAGCGCACCCCTTTGTTGTTTGACTCTCTGGATTTGCTCTGATGAACTGAGATGTGCATTTAAACAGAAGAAACTAAACACGACCGTGCACAGAATCAAATGTCAGCCAGGTGGCAAATCTGCTCTTAATGATATATATATATATTTGTAATATTTTTACTATTTCAGAGGTTATTTTAATTAACACAAATATAACCATGACAAAGTGTTTAAATGAAGAACATGACAAAGCAACGACATGCGTCATGAACTCAGGCCAATAAAATTCATAAAGTTAATTTACACATCTGTTCTAATATCCGACAGCACTGCTCAAAAATAACTTGTTAAAACTAAAAAAATTGCATTTCTCGTGAATTTTTTTTTGTAAATTACTTTTATTTGAATATATTCTGGGAAAAAGCAGCAGAGATCATAAGATTTATTCTTCTTCTGCTGCCTTTCATTTGATTTTTCATTGTATACATATTTTTTTTTGTTTTCTATTGTGTATAGTTATTTTGTTTTTAATTAAATGCATAAATTTCTAAATAAAAAATAAAACTAAATAAAATGCAGTGAATGCTTGTTGCTGGATGGTGTTTGCAGGAAGCTGCTGTAGAAGTTTAATCACTAACCTGTTCATGCCAGCTGACACGTGCCGAGAGCTGGGCAATACAAAAGCTAAAACTAACCGAAAAGTAGCCAAAGAAGTAGACATCAGCAGACAAGTAGCTGAAAGAAGAATAAAAAATTTAAATTATTAGAAAGAAGCACAAAAGGCTGAAACGAGATGGAAAAAATAGTAAAAAATACCCAAAAAGCTGCTAAAATTAGCAGAAAAATATAGAAATTAGAAATAGGCTGACAAAAGCTGAAGGAAGCAGAAATAATAAAAACTAAAAGAAACAGAAAATTGTTGAAACGAGCAGAATTTTTTTTTTTTAAACGAGCTGAAAGTAGCACAAAGAAGCTAAACAGTTGAAATGAGCAGTAAAATGTTTTAAAGCATTTGAAGGATGTGAAGAGCTCCGTTCATTTGCTACGAAGAAAACATGGCTGAAAAGGACAAATACTTCAAATGGTAAAAATCACAGCAGGAATAAATAAATGAGCCGAACGTTTTCATGCACGAATGGTTGAAACAGCTCATAAATTGTGGAACCAGCTGAAAAACACACTGAAGAAAAACTGATCTCAGCTGTGAGGATGGTATGAAAACATCTACACAATGATGTGATGCTTTAAAATTGCTTTAGGTCCTCCTTAACCACAACTGAACATGGTTGCTCAGACCTAGCATAAGGATTTTAAGTGCGCCTTATAGTCCGAAAAATACGGCAGGTGTTTTTGTCTGCAGGACAAACAAATCCAGCTGTTTGTGAAGCAAAACCCATAAAATAATTGGCGTCAGATTTTAAAACCGGCTGAGGTCATCAACCGACCACGATTCATGTACGCTGACGAGCTGAGTTTTTGTGGTTCTGAATAAACACGTTTTCTCCAAAGCATGTTTGGCTCAGACATCTGTGTGTGTTGGGGGGGGTGGGGGGGTAGAATGGGGATAGGCTGGAGGTAAAACCTACTGACCTACTCAGTCATCCCTAACAATAGGCCTGTCACGATAACAAATTTACAATTAATTATCTCAGAAATTATTGCGATAAACGATAATATCGTTCGAAATTTGACAATAATTAGTAATTATTGTCAAATTGAATAAGAAATGTTGGAAATTTGTTTTGTGTGTAGTACCTATTTTTGACCACCGAATGGCAGTATAAGACTATTTTAACTGAAGGATGGATAGTGAGGGAGCGAGCAGCGTCTCTTCAAGAAAAATGGGAGGGAGGCCCCTTGACGTGACATGGGCTGTCTCTCCTTCCTGTTTTTTACTTTATTTATTTCTCAAAATGGCGGACGCTCGGTGTGGTTTGAGCTCTTTAGCATAGCATTTGTCACATAAAACTTTTAATAAAAAAAATCAATAAACAAGTTCTCGTCTTCTTTTTGCAGAGAAAAACAACGTTTTAGACGAAGGCACGGGTTTCAACCGTGAATTTTGGAGCTTCGACAAGACGGAGGTTTGTTCACAAGGTCAGCCTGTTAGCTTAGCTCGTAGCTTAGCTTCTCAGCTTAGCTGCTTTTAACCGTCCAAAAAACGCAATTTTGGACGGTTAAAATTGATTTTTTTTATTTTTAAAGATAAAGGGAGGGGTCAGTGAAGAGCGCCGGTGTTGAGTTTTTGTCATCCAGTGTCTTCAGTAGAAAGAGAGACACGAAGAAACAATAAAGCCGATAAATGAAAATGAGGTAGATAATTTTCATCATGCAATTAATTGATTTATTTTTTATCGTGACAGGCCTACCTAACAATCAATCATTTTGCTACATAACTTTAAATTTTGCTCTCGACTGTTTAAAATATCCACCGTCGTTTCAGCATGAACACACAGACAGGATGATTTAACAGATCTTAACAAGTTAAAGTTCTATTTGACAGCATTTAAGAGACGCTCACCAACCCCGAGCTTCAACAGAACCACGTCTTCTTTATGTGTCCTGGACGCCACTGGGACACATAAAGGTGTCCCAGTATCGTACGGGACATAAAAACTGCATCAGCATGAGTTACAGGAATAAATAAAAGCCTGAGGAGGTTCAGGACTGATTCAGAGATCTGTGCAGAATATGGATGCAATGAACTTGTTCCGTTAATTAACGGAGCTTGAGAACATTGTGACGTTCTGAAACGCACCGCTCTGAGTCAAGGACGTTACCTTTCTGCAGATGAATGATGTCAGGGAAGTTTGCGAGCAGGCCTTGATAGAGCGACAGTTTATCCAGCATTTGGAAGAGGTCATACTTTGGTTGATCTGCAAACATCTCCCCAATGTTTTCATAGGTGCGGCCCGTGTGGGAAATGGCGTTGTTGAGTGCATCCGACTTGTAGGGTGGATCCAGCATGAACGCCTGGCTGATGGACTGGAAGGAATTTCCTAGCTGCTGGAACTCCCTCCTGAATCCACCCAGGTGTTTTCGCACCAGCTCCGAGGCGACGTGCGTGAGCTGCAACACGCTGTCGTCCATCTTCTTGGCAAAAGTCTTAAAGTTGTCCACCCTCTCCTCGACGTCCTGAAGGTCCTGGTGCTCACTGGGGATTTGGAGGGTCAGCATGAAATGGGCACCCACCATCTCATCCTTCTCTGCCCGCCTCTTGCCCAGTTTCCACTGCTTGTCGTCAGTGCACATCAAAAAGTGCTCAAAGCCTTCGTACTGGGAGAGGACTGGGTGACTTGTCATGTGGTTCATCCACAGTATTAGTCGCCGCTTACGCTTCTCAATGAAGTCTTCCTCGAATCGGCCCGTGGCCTGCTTCTCTGGGAGGTGAGGCACGGAGATCACAGTGAACTTGTGCAGCAAACGGTTGTAGAGCCAGTCAAAGTGTTTGTAGCGTCTGTAGACAGGATGCCCCGTGTGGCTCGGCGTGACTCGGTATGATATGTAGGTCTTGATACCCTTGAACTTTGTCTGTTTGGTGGGGTCTTCAATGGAGCAGGTGAAAGGCTGCGGGTTCTCCTTCCATCGGGGCCCCAGGGGCCCCATCTCAATAGTGTAAGACTCTGCAATCTTTGCCATCATGGGGACGTCACCGAGCACAAAGGCCTCCACTCCTGAGCGGACAAAGCTAGAAAATCGGTTCAAGTTTCTTCCCACCATGCTGCCCTTCCTGGAGCTGGACATGCTGTCTTGTCCTGGCGCCGACTTGCTCCTGTAGTGCACATTGGGATTGTTGGACAGTTGGGTCTGATACGCATGTCCATTGGCTCCATTAGCTCCAGGACCCCTGGTGCCATCACCGTCGTCCACAACCGTAGACCTGTCGTCCCATTCATCCCAGTCGTCGTCATCGTCCTCGTCATAAATCTGCCCAGAGTTGAGCGAGGCGTTCGGGGTGGATGGGAAATAGGAGGAGTCGTTTCCTAAAGAGCCCGCTGGGCTTACGGAGCAGTCTGTCAGGTTGGAGTCGGACCTGGTGCGGACAACGCTCACGTAGGCCGCAGGGAAGAGACCCCTCTCCCCTCGGCTGTTCTCCCCTTGGAACCAGCCATCCACCGAGTTCTCGTCAAAGATGATCACTTCCTCGTTCTCTTGGATGCTGATTTCCTCTTTGTTTTCACTTATGAAGGTGTAAAGGGCAACACCTTTCACCGACATCTTGGTTCTCAGACAGGTCCTAAACCAAAAACTTCTAGATGCACATAGTGTCTGGGTCAGACTGATGGCACAGACTTACTCTGAGCTGAAGTATTTACCATTGGTTGGCTGTAAAACTTCAAGTAATCTCAAGTTGTGTGGCAGGTATTGCAACAATCAATTTAATGTCTATCCACCAATAAACCGAGACAACCACAGTCCACTGAGGCTCGATTATTACCTTGTCCCTAATCTCCTATTAAAAACATGAGCTCTAAGGTCAAAACATCGTGTCCTTCGTCACAAAGAAACTACTTCCCTGCGTTCACATAACAAAAACAACAGGTTCGGGAACAAAAACTGGTTTCACAAAGCGCTCCTCCAGAAGCACCGACGCTCGTTTTAATCCCCTTTAAGTTCAGTCAGAGATGCCCACTGATCTCCAGCCCGCCGTAAACACATTTCCAGGAGAAATCCACCCGGTCAGGAGAAAAAAGCCCACGGCTGAGTGAGTAATGGTACCTCGGTGCATTATTTCCAGCCTGCACCGCATTCCCTCACACTGGAACTTGCTGCGTTTTCCTCGTAAACAGGTTCCTGCTGCGCATCTTCCCTCGGAGGACGGGGGCCGAGAGGCAATCACTTCGCCCTGATCAAGGTGTCGATACGATTATTTTCCCCTTTAAGCGTAGTCCTCAACGGCGCTGTAACAAAGTAACTCTTTCCGTGACGCGAGGCTCGAACAATTGAAGCAAGTTCGCCCGTTTTCTCCAGTTCCTCTGTTCGCTGAGAGGAGAGAATCGGTGCCAGCAGCGCCCCCTGCAGGACAAGCGGAGTATAACAACCCGGAAGTTTTGTGTTAAAGCAAACCGTACGGTAAACGACCAGAATTTTATTTAAATAACGCTTAGTTGTTTGGCAAGCTTTACATTTCTAGAAGAGATTTGTAGTTTTTATTTTTTAAAAGCTGTAAAAGTATTTCAAATCTTGTCGCTTCAACAAAATGGATGACCCGCGAGCAACTATACCTGCGAATGAGGAAAACACTAAAACTCCGGGATAGTTTTGCGTTTTTGGTTGGGCAACAATAATTTCCAGAAAATATGGCCGCAGCGTGACGTCGCAGAACATCATCCGTAGCAGCCAGCAGCCTCCCTGAATGCCCAGGTAACTGTTAATATTAGCTGCATTAAACTCATTATAACACCCATTTTATCGTCTGTTTTAATCGACTTTACGTGCAGCTTGTAGCCACGAATGTCACGCTCAGACTTGCTCGTTAGCTCGTCAAGCTAGCAAGGGTAGCCGTAAGCTAGCGGCTTAACTCAAAGCTACATGTAGCATTCTAAACAAAGATGTATTTTGTTTGTCCTTCTTCTCTCTCGTCTTTATTAAAATAGTTTACCTAGAGGCAGGGGGACAGTTGTAGTTTTAATCGTGTCTGCAAATACTGATTTTAATGCCGAATCAAAATTAAATTTAAACTACGTCTTAGCGCGCTTTTCTACATCTGACTGACACAACCAATAAACAGGACCTGACTTAACTTTGTTTGTTCTACCTGGATTATTGAGCATCAGGATGAACTGATGGTGACTAAAATAAATTATTAGTTTGATGTGGTTGTGATTATGACAACATAATGATGGCATCCCACCACACACTGTAGGTAAGTTAATGAGTTGGAAACAGTTTGGATCAATAATGCATTAATTGAGCCCAAAGCCTTTTTGAACATGTGGGTCACATCCAAGTGTACCCATCTGTTCCCAAACTGTCAAATGTGTCCTCTCATACTGTCCTTTTCGACTGACGGTGTTATAGACTTGTTTTGTGTGTTGTCCAGCAGGTCTAAGGTGGGCCAGGAATCATTTTAATGAAATTAGCAGCGCTCACTGAGGAGACGGACGGTGATAGGAGGTCATGTGTTTGCTGGTGATTGAGGGTCCCCGTCTCACCGTCTTTACCGGCACCTGAAGTCGTTTTCAGCGGAGACTCGCAGAGCACCGAGAGACGTGATTTAGAAAGCTGCTGTTCAACCTTATTATGTTTGCTCCTCTTACACTGTCCATCCATCCATTATCTTTACCCGCTTATTCCATTTTGGGTCACGGGGGTCGCTGGTGCCCATGTCCAGCAATCACTGTGCGAGGGGCGGGGGACACCCTGGACGGGTTGCAAGTCCATCGCAGGGACACATAGAGACAAACAACCATTCACTCTCTCACTCACATCTAGGGACAATTTAGAGTTACCAATCAGCCTAACATGCATGTTTTTGGTCTGTGGGAGGAAACCGGAGTACCCGGAGAAAACCCACGCATGCACGGAGAGAACATGCAAACTCCACCCAGAAAGGCCCCTGGACCGGGGTTTGAACCAGGGACCTGCTCGCTGAGAGGCAGCAGCTCTACCAGTTGCGCCACCGTGCTGCCCCCTCTTACGCTGTGTGAACTACTAATGTCTTTACAGGAGTCTGATTCCTCCTCGTGGGAAAAAACTAATTTCTTGTGCGATTGAACTACCACACTACTGCCGATATATATATATTTTTTTTTCATTTAGCCTTTATTTATCCAGGTTAGTCTCATTGAGCCACGAGAACTCATTTTCAAGAGAGACCTGTTTAGGGAGCAGATGGTGGGGGTTAAGGGCCTTGCTCATGGGCCCAGAGTGGGGCGAATGAGGGTGGGGGCAAGTGTGGGTGTTTCACCTACCCCACCCACAATTTTGATGTTGTCGGGGCCGGGGCGTGAACCGGCGATTTTCGGATCACAAGCCCACCTCTCTAACCTCTGCGCCACCACTCCCCCAGATATGATTCTGTTAGGTTACAATGTAGATCCATCCGATCCTGTACCATCCAGTGCGTAAATGTTAATTTTGTGGTTACGCATTTGTTGCAGAGAAAACTCATTAAATATAAAGCAAAAAAAAAAAAAACCAAACCGTGATGTGGGTCGTTCTCTGTAGAACACCCAACGAGCTCAAATTGACTCTGAAGATCATAGAAGCACAAATGTGGAGAAACGTGAGCAAACAGCTGCCAGAATCCAGATGTTTTGCAGTGACGGACGAGGTCAGCGTTGCGTAGCTGTGTGCTTTAGACGAGAGGACTTGATCTGTCTTGTAAGCCGGTCATAAAAACAATAAGCTGCGATACAAATTAAGCCGTTTTACGTTTAGTGTTTTTTCCTCGTCTTTCTGTTTTCACGTCAGAACCTGCTGTGCTTGCAGCGTCGCCATGGATGCCCTGACCGACGCGCTCTCCTTCGGCTTCGCTGTGTCCAAGGAGCCCAACAGTACAGCCGCCCCCCACCCTCGGCTGGCTCAGTACAAGAGCAAGTACAGCGTGCTGGAGCAGAGTGAGCGGCGGCGGCGCTTTCTGGACCTGCAGAAGAGGTAAAACCCCTCTCCGGTTAGTCTTGTTTCATCCAAACGATGCATGCTCTGCGATGAGCCTTTAAGTGTCAAACATGATCAGACTCATTAAATTGATGTTTTAAGGGACTGGGAGGCAGCGTAACGTGAATAAATCAAAGTGGTGAAAACAATGTGAAGGCAGAAGTATGTGACTTCTTAATTTCTTTTGCAAACGGCAGTAAAAGGTTAAACTACGTGAACCATGCGCGGCACTTGGCGGATGGGGACTGGACCGGGGCGGACTACGATGAGGGGGAAGACATGGAGAAGCAGGAAGAGGGGGAACGACAGCATGACGATGGTGCGGAGGATGAGGGGATGGAGGTGGAGAGGAGGAAGCTGCCAAAGCATTACGCTAACCAGGTCAGACGTGACTCAACTGAAACATGAAGCTTCGTCCCTGCAGGAGTCTATCCTGACCAGCAGGGGGCGCCTGGCTCCACGGTTTTAGTGCCATTTTTTAATTCCTGGACTCTTTCACGCAGTATTGATGACCGTGACATGTTTAGTGGAGTCGTTTTGTTTGTTTGCTCCGCAGCTCATGCTGTCGGAGTGGTTGGTGGATGTACCGTCAGAGCTTGAAACCGACTGGCTGATGGTGGTTTGTCCTGTCGGGAAAAGGTCCCTCATCGTTGCCTCGAAGGTAGGCACCGGTCACCTTCGGTCTTTTTTAACCTTTGAACCTTCAGACTCGTCTCTGAATCACTTTAAAGGCACATGTTAAAAAAGTTTGCAGGTAATTAACGTTCACACGATTAAGACTCGACGAGCTCGTCTTTGTTTCATATTTTGAGTTGTTTTTTTGTACGTTGCACCTGAAGGACCAGAGCTGCTCTCCTGGAGGAGGAGGAGGTGACTGGAACAATGACGAGTCGCCCGGTCTGAGTGACCACGTGTGGTTTTTAACGTTGCTGGGAGCGCATTTTGTAAAGCTGTTAGTTATAACGTTAGAAAACGTCAGGAAATAAGGTAGAACGGGGACAAATACAGTTCACGTTTATTTTATTTTGTCTAATTCTTAAGTGACATTTTACAACAAAAGGTGCAAAACAAAAAAACTAAACAGGCCCATTTCAAATCCAGTTGCATGCAATTAAAGTGAATACAGTCACAACAGAAATGCACGAGCGTTTCAATCTGTAAAAAACATTTTATCCTAAAAGCTTTATTAAATCTACAACCGTTTGTTGGGTTGTGTTGAAAGTTGGTGGAGGTTTTCGGTCCAGTTAGTGTCGCGTCTGCCTCGGAGCTAATGATCCGCTCTCTGATGGGTCGATGTTTAAGTTGTTGGGAAGAAGAGAAATCTGTCGAAGAGACTTTGAGTTGAGCCGTTTCTGTCGTGATTCGATGGTGGGCTGTGATTCAGTCTTTTAAACTGCACGTGAGGGGTTGGATTAGAGCCGGACCAATGATTTAGGCCGATATAGGCGTTTGGGGACCTATCGGTATTTGTGGTAATCGTCCCATAAGCGCTTCTAATTTTCACCCCTAAAATGCTGTGAAGCAGCTGTAATTGCACGATGTCTCCAGCAGAGGGCGCAAGAAGGCGACTTTCAAGTCACGGCCATTCACTCACGCATTTTCCGACCTACAAGTCGCAACTTTTTGCCTAAGTTTTGCGTACCCTGCGACTTACATGCCGAAGCGACTTATTTATGTTTTTATTTTTAATATTTATAACTCGTTTTTGGCTGAGATATGAACATTTTCATTCATTCGGACATGGAAACTATTGAACGCTGCCATTTTCAGCTGCTAGATGGCACAGGAGCAGTGTGGCATGCCCTTGTATCACGTAATAGGTAAAAGTGGCTATTAATGACACAATTGGCTTGCCATAGCCTGGAGCAACCGTCACTTCACTGCGCCGCCCTGGTGAAACGCAGCTGATTTGAACATTGAAGTGCATTTATTAAGTAAAAGTTCAGCTGAGACACACCTTTACTATAAAGTCGAGCAAACAAACAATTGTTTTTAAGTGTTAATCTTGTTAAATTCTTGTTAAAGTCCTCCCGCGGCCGCCATTTGGCAGCCAATCGATTTTTGGCACAACACATACGTTATTACCTTGTAAATCTTTATCCAGAACAATAAATCGAACGTAGCGGTAAAATATATATATATATATCAATGTTAGTATCTTTGTTGTCTTCAATGAAATGCATGGTTTGTGTGAAATCTTCTCTGCAAAGAAAAATAAACTCTGTGTGGTCGGTATTAATTATCCTTCACCACACGTGACTGTTTAAACAAAGAACAGGGAAGATGTTTCTTTGTTTAATTTATATCCTGATGCATGCTCAATAATCCAGGTAGACGCATCTTTACGTTCATTTCAATGTAACAAATTAATTTATATTTCTGTAACGCACTTTATAACTTTATGTTGAATAGTGGAGGATAGAAAAGGTGAAGTTAGGGAGACTGTTTTAGGACCGGTGCACCACTTGTTTAAACCTACGTATAGCGTGGATCTGATTAGCTTAGCTTCATGGTTGCTAACAGCCGCGGTAAATAAACAAGCCCCGCCCCACTCGATGTGTTCTTCGATTCTTGGGGGTGGACGAAGCTAAAAAAAAAGTTTCAGCCGTTATATTGGCGTCGGTGTGGTGAAAACCAAACGTTCCGTCTCGGTCGGGCTGCAGTTTGATGGTGGTGACGAAGATCAGAGACATCTGATGGGAATCTGTTGAACTATGTAAAACCGTCAATTCAGCACGTTTTACAGGAACGCGTGGAAGTGGAACTATTTATTCGCCTCTTTATGAGAAACATAAATGAGAGTCCGAGTTTTTTAATGATTACATCATCACCTATGGTCTGGACTAGCCTTTAGCTCGTCGATCCAGTTTGAGTAAAACTCTGTTTCTCCTCATTAAAGTTCACAACACCAGAGTTTATTTGTTCAACCTCTCCATGGAGCCAGCTTCAAAACATCCCAACTGAGACTCGATAAAGACCAGATGATTTTTATCAAACGTGACGTAATTTATAAAAATAGGAACTTTCAAAGAGTCCTAGTTTCTTCGGGTCTTCACCGGACTGTAACAAACATTTTGGTTTCACTGACGCGTCTCGCTCGGGGGCTCTGGTTCAGATTCTTTGTCCCCCGTCGCGGAGCTAAAAGGGGAAATTGGAAATGCCCTCCATCCGTCTGTGCATGTTGGGAGCATAACTGGTTCCTTCCTTCATATTTATACGTAAACCAATCGCCCCATCATTTGAGGCCTTTTAGTTTTTATATCGCTTGTTTTCAAATTGAACTTCTCCTTCTGAAGCACGACGACATGACGGAAGAAAGAAAACGAATCCCTTTAAACGGAAACGGCGCGTTCCTTTATCAGCTGACAGTAAGTTGGCGGGGGATGCAGGGACACGGTCCGAGAGCAAAACAAGGACGTGAGAGGATCTCTGGAGCGGCGGCCAGAGATGTGCGAGTGTCCCTGTGCTTCACGAAACGAGATCTTTGTAAAGAAAGACGAGGAAAGTTCTCTGCAGAAGCTTTCTATGAAAACTGCTCTGAAGGGCTTGAATATCTGGTCTTTACCAGGTTTAAATACGATTTAAATGTGTACAAAAACACAACAGATTCCACCGTGTTCTTTATTAAACAGAACTAAGTCCACCTCATGATCCAGCAACTTGTAGAACCTCCTTTAGCTGCAAGAACCAGAAGTAGTACAGTGTTTCTAGGTTTCTGGACTTCGGTCGGGGCTTGCACAAAGAATACGTTTAGCTTTTAATAACACTTTTAATCATTTTATAGCTTGGATGATTGAGTTACAAAGTGTGCAGCTTTTCTTCTGGGCTTCTCAAAAATCGTTTTTAAAGCTTCTTGTTATAAATAAAAACACTTAATATTGTTGGTTTTCAGTGGGTTGTAACATTTTTCATCGTAATCCAATAAATGATCAAATTTAAAAACAAAAAAATTGCATTGATTCTGTCTGATCCGTTTGTCTAACTCAGGGGTTCCCAACTCTGGTCCTTGAGGAACACCATCCTGCGAGTGGTTTCTCTGCTCCGACGCACCTGATTTTAATTGATGGGTAATTAACAGGCATCTGCAGAACAGGAAGTAATGAAATCACTGAATCAGGTGTGTTGGAGCAGGAAAACAACTAAAACATGCAGGATGGTGTTCCTCAGGGACCAGGGTTGGGAACCACTGGGCTTGCCTGTATTGTTAGTCATGAAAGTTTTGATGTTCAAAAACTTTTCGTGACAAGAAAGAACTTAAGTGTTCCCGTTTGTCACGTTTAATGAAAGCGTCGATCAGCAGCGCGGGATGCAACTCGTCCTCAATCAACAGGTGCGCAGACCGGTTTACCTGTAATGGACATCGTAGACGCTCCTGCACGAACGGGAGGAAAGAGCCGTAGAAACGCGTGGCGTCCGTCCTGACCGTGAACACGTCGTCCAGCTGCAGACGAGCCGTTTCAGGACGATACAACGTGACGTGTCTCGTGCTGTTCTGTGTCGTGCAGGGTTCCACTGCAGCGTACACCAAAAGCGGCTACTGCGTGAACCGTTTCCCCTCCTTGCTGCCCGGAGGGAACAGACACAACTCGGCCATGGGAAAAGGTAAGTGGGCGGGGTTTGTTTAGACTGCAGAGCTTCACCGCCGCTCAGGTTTGGAACAAATATTAGTGTTGCGCAAACGCCGTGCTCTCCCCCTCAACTGTGAAATGACTTGATTTTGATAAGGCTGAGAAAATGTCCAGACGAGGCTTTTATTTTGACAGCGAGGGCCCAACCCTCCTCGACTTTCTGCCTGCTGGTGCGAGAACCAGAGTCCAGCGTGGAGCCCGCTCAGCCTGACGGGCTCGTTTGGATTCATGACCACAACGATAACCGATGGTTTTATACTTTATCTAGACCGGGGGGGCTGCAAGCTTTATGATCAAAAGAGCCACTTTTACGCCTTCGTTCACCAAATTAAATGTGTCCAGACCTGCTGCAACTGGGATTATCAAGCGGTGGCTCGTGGACCAATTCAGATTTGTTGGAGGAGACTTTTGTAGGGGCCACATATTATAAAGCTAAAAATATCTAATAGTTTTAACATTTGTTGATATTTTTACAATTTAAAACAAAACAGATTGTTGTAAAGAAGGAATAAATAAATTGTATTTTTTAACCAATTTTTTTATTTTATTTAAACAAACTATGCAGACCTGTGAGATTTTTTTTAAATTTTTTTTAATTACTGAAAAAATAAGTATAGAAATAAAGTTAAAGTGTGCATTTTGTTTCTTGTATTAGTTCTAGTAACGTCATATTTGCAAAATAAATTAAAATGGCTACAACTAGCTTTATTTTTGTTTGTAACGACCAATAAAATGTAGTTTTATGTGCGTTTTGGTCAAAGCTTGAAAGAGCCGCAGGTTGCAGACCCCTGATGTAGACGGCGTTTCCTTTAAATGCATAGAAAGATGATCAGAAACATAGAAACTCTCTTTGGAGACGCCCCTCCATCCCAAAAAGAATACAGAAAAACATTTGATTAGCAAAACGTATTTATTCTAAGTACAGCTGAGACATAAAACCCACGAGCTTACATGGATACTGTGCTGAAGTAAAGATAAACCACAAACGCCGACACTCCCAGAGAGAACTTGGTGAGTTTGAGTGACAATAACCCGCGGAACATCCGATGCTGCAGCCTGCATGCATGCGCAACGGATTTGTTTTCTAGTAAACGTTACTTGAGCAACGTGGAAGTGTGTGTTTGCTCTTTAGGTCCAAATTAAAACGAGACGAGAGGCAGAACTCCACACCGACGTCCAGCCTCCACTAAGGCATCACTTCAGAGCTCGGAGAAATATTTTGCTCGGTAAATTTTGATATAAAACAGAGCACCACATAGAAAGCTAATATAACAGTTGGAAGTATAAGGAAACAACGTTCTGGAGAGGAATGCATCATTTATGATCGTAAAATACGCGATCAAAAAATAATAAATAAAAGCACAAACAGAAGTAAATATTTGGCTAAAGTCAAGAGACGGCTCAACGCTCTGATCGTGGTTCCGTTTGTCATTTAATAAACATCTTTTAGCTTCTGTCGTGCTTCTGGTGGCCGTTGCCTTCTTGGCCGTTACGGGAAAACCGAGCTACCGTTCGCTCGTCCAGCCAGCTATAAACTCAATTTAAAGTCATCTACAACAGGTAAGATATTAACTGTGCATAGCTTTTTCCACGCTCTCACACCAACTGAGCTCAACTGGTGCTCTGAATGGATTCATTCAAGTAAATATTTACCGGTAGTTGTTCACTCTGACGAGTATTTTGATTTACGAACAAACTGTTTTTATTTATTTATGTTTTTGCCCAATTGTCCGCCAGGTTCATCCACTTTGATTGGACCTCCACTCCTCTGGTTCCTGTTTGATCAGAAACACTTCAGAAGCTGGAACAGAAAATGTTCAGTCGGTTTATGTGACGCCGTGGCGGTTTGTTTTTTCAGATTACACGATCCTGGACTGCATTTACAGCGAGGTGGACCGGACGTACTACATCCTGGACGTCATGTGCTGGAGGGGCCATCCAGTCTACGACTGCCCAGTAAGACCCGCTTCTAATTTACCGTCGAGCCACAAACGTTGGTCCGGGACACGCGCGTGATTTTCTCACCGTGTTCTCTGCCTCGTCGACCATTTTGAACCTTTTATTTCACGTTTCCTTTATTTTCACGTCGTCCTCAACAGACCGAGTTCCGCTTCTTTTGGCTCCAGTCTAAGGTCCAGGAGACGGACGGCCTGACGGAGATCGCCAAACGGAACCCCGTGAGTGTTGGCACCAAAACCCCGAGCCTGTTCTCTTTACACTTTCTTCTGTTTGGAGTTTCGCACCTTCGACCAGACTTCATGACCTGAAGAGTCATTTCTGCTGAGCAGACCGTGTCCAGAGTCACTACTGGGATGATCAACTGGTGGCTCATGCTAACTACAACATTTTGTGCTTCTTCGAACTAATAAGTTTAAGAAATATATTTCTGATAATTTCAGCTTGTTAGGCTCCTTTCAGCTTATTTCTGCACGTTTTGCCTTTTTCTGCTAATTTTAGCCTTTTCAGCTAATTGCACATTTTTTGCACTCATTTAAACATTTTTCAGCCTAATTCATCAAGCTCATCAATTTAAGCTTCTTTCTCAAGGATTCAAGAATTTTCATCGTTATTCACATCACATGTGGTACATGAGGTGGAACAAAACTATTTTAGCTACTTTTCAGCTGTTTTGTTTAGCTGTTTTCAGATAATTTCCTCTGTTTGTGCTCATTTCCGTTTCTTTCAGCATAATTGGGCAGACGTGTTCTTTCTGCTTTCTTCTGCTAATTTAACCATGTTCTACCTTTTTTAGCTTTTTTTTAAATCAAATTTCAGCTGTTTTCAGATAAATTCAAGGTTTTTGAGGTCATTTCTACTTCGGTACTTTCAGCCTAATTAACTTCTTTATGGTAATTTCAGCTTGTTATGCTCCTTTCAGCTCATTTCTGCTAGTTTCAGCTTTTTCTTCTATTTCAACAGCTGTTTTTATGCTAATTTTAGCTTTTTCAGCTAATTTCACAATTTCTGAGCTCTTTCCACGTCCTTCTGGTAGTTTAAGCTTCTTGCTGCCTTTTAGCTAGTTTTCAGCCATTTTTTTTTTTGCCAATTTCAGCCTTTTTTAGCTACTTTCCAATTTGTTTTGCAAATATCTGCTTATTTAAACCTATTTCAGTAAATGTGTTCTTTTTGCATTATTCTGCTAACGTAGGCATGTTCTTCCATTTCAGCTACATTTCAGCATGTTTTTAGCTACTTTCAGCTGTTTCTCGTCAAGTTTTTCAGCAGGAAGCGTTCACACTGCATTTTCACAGGAAATGTGCAGTTCCTCTAGTTCTCTTTTTGTTTTAGGACGTTTTGCAAAAGTCCGAGTCAACTTTGAGTTGAAAGTTTGTGAGCTTCGTTTACTGCCAGAACTAAAACGTGCTGTTCTGGTTCTGGTTCTGTTTGGTCCAACAGTTCCGGTTTGTGAGTCTCCAGAGTTCCGACTGCGCGGCAGCGTCCATTCAGAAAGCGCTGGCAGCCGAGTACAGCTTCAGCGTACGACAGCGCATCTTTAAATGATTCGTCTCTTCTTGCGCCAGATGTTTTGGTTCTCATGTGGCGTTGTTATTTTCAACCTTCACTCCTTGTAGGTGGACGGGCTTCTCTTCTACCACCGGCAGACCCACTACACCCCTGGCAGCACCCCTCTGGTCGGCTGGCTCCGGCCTTACATGGTCTTGGACATCCTGGGTTTGGAGGTTCCCGCGGGACCTCTCACCACCAAGCCGGAGTACGCCAGCCACCAGCTGCAGCAGATCCGGGAGCACAAAAAGGCGTCGACCGACGTCCGCCCAGCCAATAGCAGCGGCGGCTACGAGTTGGAGTACCTGTCCACTCCACGCCAGGACGCCAAGGACCCTTTGCACGGCTTCAGCCAGGAGCCGATAAAAGAAGCGAACATGGAGGCGTGAGCGGGAGGCTCGGCGACGTGTTCGATCAGCGTTTCTGTGGCGGCAGCTCACGTCGAGCGTGGCTAATTTTAATCAGGCACTGTTCTGGTCACCCCTCGAGCGCTGCTGCATGCCCACTTTCTGCCTGCAGAAGGTGGAAACCTGGAGCTTCGTAAGAGTATTTGCACAAAACAAAAGTTTAGATTAAAAAGTGTTTTTTCCAGGAGCGCGTGCGAGGCGTGTCGGAGAAAACATCGCAGCAAAATAAAAAATGGAGGTCAAGTAAGCTCCTGCTGCTGCGTGCGTCGCTCGTGAAAACGTCCTTTCAGTTCGTCGGTTTGCAGAACGACTGCAGCTGTTTTCATTCTCTGCTAAAGCTAAACGTTCAGCAGCTCTTCAGCTGTTTCACTGACCAGCTGTTCAGTTTACAAAGTGCTTTAAATGTTTTTTATAAAGTGCAACTTTCTAAATGTTTTTTGTTTTTAATTGGTCTGCTCTATTTTTTTATGCTTCCTCTGTGTTTAGTTTTTGACACGAGTATAATTTACTATGAAGTAAAATCAATCTCTAAATATTTGTTGTATTAAATTAATCAGGGTTATTCAACTGGCGGCCCGGGGGCCAAATCGGGCCCACAGGTGAGCTCAGTTCGGCCCACCGGTGAGTTCATTTTTAAATAAAACTACATTTTAAACCGTAAACCAAGAACAGCTGGATGTCCCGCCCCTGAGCTTTTGGCTTTCAGTAACTCGCCCCCTGAGCCATTTACCGTAATTTCCGGACTATAAGCCGCAACTGTTTTCACACGCGTTAAACCCGGCAGCTTATACAGTGCTGTGGCAAATGTTTTTTTTAATTTTTTTTATGGGCTAACAAACTTCCTGCCGCCAAAACATTTAGCCTCATCACACCCGGGCGCTCGCATAGCTCCTCGATACACGTCTCTCTTGGGGGTTGTGTCCTCGTGACTCAATGAGACTGCCTGTATAAATAAAGGTTAAAAAAAAAATCTGACCAATGGAACGGGGGGGGGGGGCTCTTTCTGGGTGGAGTTTGCATGTTCTCTCCGTGCATGCGTGGGTTTCCCCCAGGTTTCCTTCCACAGACCAGTGTTGCCAGATAGGGTGGATTTGGAGTCAGATCGGCGGTTTTTGAGTTAACTTATTAAAACAATCATCATTAGTTCATAGCAAAGCTCTGACCTTTCACCGATTGGCTGTTGCCATCTGCCAGGGCGTTCTCAACAGAGAACTGGTGAGACAGTGGACGCCTCGTTGAGTGGGCTGGCACGTCGAAGCGGCCGCCATATTGGATGTGGCAGAACTGCCAGTCAATGATGAAAGGAAATGGACTGAACTTCATAAAACATCGTTCTACAAAGTGTCTTCTGTTAATGCCCGTCATTCACACACTAATATATTTGGATAACAAACGGGCACCAAAGACATTTATAACTTTTAAAGTGATTATTAAAAATGTTTACTCCGTAAGAACCAAACCAACGTGTATTATTTAGAGTGTTTACAACTACTAATGTGTGTAACACTATTACTGGGGTAATAAATATAGCAATGTTCATATTAAACGTTTAATCTGTGTCTAATAACCAGATCCTGAAATGTGACGTGCACATTTATTGAATAAAGAGCACCAACGTTCACATTTAACTGATTTTGATTAATTAATCACATTGATGAACATATAAACACCAATATATCTTTACACAGGGTGTGTAGATGTGTTCAAACAGTAAATATAACGTATTGATTGGGCGGGTTTTTGTGTGATCGGGTGGTTTTTAACAGACTTTTGGGCTGGAAAACCCCGACTATCTGGCAACACTGCCACAGACCAAAAACATGCATGTTAGGCTGACTGGCAACTAAACTGTCCCTAGGTGAGAGAGTGAATGGTTGTCTCGTTTGTCTCCATGTGTCCCTGTGATGGACTGGAGACCTGTCCGGGGTGTCCCCCGCTCTCGCACAGTGACCCCCCCGACCCAAAAGAGAAAAAGTGATTAAAGATAATGGGTGAATTTATTTAATTTATTTTGCAGATTAACGGTATTTTTCCTCCCTGAGGTTCAACGAACTACAAAGTGACATGTTTGTCGAGACGTTTGGTGCCGTGAAAAGCTGTAATCAGGTCACAGCTCACCAGAGCAGCATGACATGGAGCCAGAGGAAATGATGCACGTTTGAGCCTACACAAACTCTTCTGCACTGGAAAAAAAAAAAAATCCTGCTTCGTTTCTTCTTGCTCTGCTCTTCAGATGGTATCACTGCTGCTCCACCTACACGAAACATCACCGAGGGCAAATAATATGTTCAGACTCTTGTGTGAGACCAGCTCGTCTGTGAATCGTAGATCTGAAGTAGAAAGGCTGAAGAAAAATTGGCAACTATGATCATAGGAAGAATCAGACCTGACCTGATTTCACTGCACATAACATTTAAAGTTGCTGAATATCAAATACGAGGTGAATGTGATCTGCCAGATTTATGCAAGAGGCCTCGGATTGTGTTGTAATTCAGAGAAAAGCGACAAATGTCAACCATCGAGTACAGTCGAATGTCACTTTTCTAATTCAGTGCGCTGTGAAAGCAGCGAGCAAAATGAGCCGTGTGGTTACTGCGAGAATTCAGCTATGACTCAGCAGCACCCATCACTTTCCAGGAACTGAGCACCTGTTGATTCAGTGACTCTTCTCAGAGCGCTCTCCGTCTCCCACACACACGCTCTCGTGCGCTTCAGGTCTCTGTAGACACCTTTCAACTCCCCGGTACCTGTCAAAACAGGATGCTAATACCTGGAAAAATAGAAAAAAGCATATCTGTGGGACCATGTGCAAATAAAGGTTAATGTTTAGCAGAAGAAAGTGGCTTAATGTGTCTACACTGTTAAAAGAGGGTCTAGTTACTTTTGAAGTGATGTTTTGTCAAATAGTTATCCTACTGATAACTATTAAAGCCTTATCAGCCATGATGTCAGTCATAGACCACAGTGTATGAAGAAAAAGCCAGTGTTTCCATCCAGGCTAGGCTAGTCC